GAGACGATAGTCAGGAGACGATAGACAGGAGACGATAGACAGGAGACGACAGACAGGAGACGATAGACAGGAGACGATTGACAGGAGACGATAGACAGCAGACGAAAGACAGCAGACGATAGACAGCAGACGATAGACAGAAGACGATAGACAGGAGACGATAGACAGGAGACGATAGACAGGAGACGATAGACAGGAGACGATAGACAGGAGACGATAGACAGGAGACGATAGACAGGAGACGGTAGATAAGAGACGATAGACAGGAGACGATAGACAGGAGACGCTAGACAGGATACGATAGACAGGAGACGGTAGACAGGAGACGATAGACAGAAAACGATAGACAGGAGACGATAGACAGGAGACGATAGACAGGAGAAGATAGACAGGAGACGATAGACAAAAGACGATAGACAGGAGACGATAGACAGGAGACGATAGACAGGAGATGATAGACAGCAGACGATAGACAGAAGACGATAGACAGAAGACGATAGACAGGAGACGATAGACAGGAGACTATAGACAGGAGACGATAGACAGGAGACGATAGACAGGATACTATAGACAGGAGACGATAGACAGGATACGGTAGACAGGATACTATAAATAGGAGACGATAGACAGGAGACTGAAAGACAGGAGACTATAGACAGGAGACGATAGACAGGAGACGATAGACAGGATACGATAGACAGGAGACGATAGACAGGAGACGATAGACAGGAGACGATAGACAGGAGACTATAGTCAGGAGACGATAGACAGGAGACGGTAGACAGGAGACGATAGACATGAGACGATAGACAGGAGACGATAGACAGGAGACTTTAGACAGGAGACGATAGACAGGAGACGATAGACAGGAGACGATAGACAGGAGACTTTAGACAGGAGACGATAGACAGGAGACGATAGACAGGAGACGATAGACTGGAGACTTTAGACAGGAGACGATAGACAGGAGACGATAGACAGGAGACAGTAGACTGGAGACGGTAGACTAGACAGGAGACGATAGACAGGAGACGATAGACAGGAGACGGTAGACAGGAGACTGTAGACAGGAGACGATAGACTAGACAGGAGACGATAGACAGGAGACGATAGACAGGAGACGATAGACAGGAGACGATAGACAAGAGACGATAGACAGGAGACGATAGACAGGAGACGATAGACAGGAGACGATAGACTAGACAGGAGACGATAGACTAGACAGGAGACAATAACGGCAGCCAGCGTTTGATATAGCGGATGTCACTAATAGAGTAAGACAGATATACGACAGAAAAGCTGACGCTACATCGGACACAACATGAGAAGAAACCAGCAGAGAATCACCAAACAGGCATTACAATGGGAAATAATAATATTACTGAGATTAGGGCGCCCAAGGAAACCCTAAGACGAACGTTGATGAGAAAGGCCAAAGCTGCAGAACTGGATCTCATCCATGATATTAAACTGATTGAACATGGTATAGCGAAATGAAGGAACTTAAAAAAAGGTTTGATCTCAGGATTCCCCTCCCTCTAGGAATTTGTTTAAAAAAGCTTAGGGCCCTCACGTTGGGACAGCAGACCGCTTTGCGTTTATTTCGATAAAGTATCGACAGCTAAAGGTTCAAGTGCAAAAGTAAACTAGAGAAAAAAAATGACAACATAATTATCTAAATGTCTGCTTCTGGTTCTGCAACGTCCTGTAAATGGATATGCAACTAACTGCAAGTCGCTGCAGCCACCTGCAACTTTTAAAATTGGTAAGGGGACTGAATGCCTTACATACAGTATTCTTTGTGTCGCCGCCCCTGCTAAAGACTATCATATATCACGTAGAAGAACTTCTAATTAACCGTTTTGTCACGCTTGCCATAATGACGAGTCTAGAATTCTAACGAATTCTATTTAATAAAACAGACATGCTATAAAACGCAGTAGTCCAAATTCTACTTACAAAGATACAGCACATGAACTCAAACTTCAGATCAGGAATTAAGAAAACCAGCTGTTGACAAAAGCAGCTACCATTTCTTTTAAAGAAAAAGTAACAAGTATTTGATTCAGTTATCAAATTTATCCCAAGTTGCTGTAACAACTAGAACTTTATCCAAAGCTCGTAGCCATCAAAAAGTGGAACATCGTACTTTAGGAGGATTTTATTTCAGATTCAGTAAGTGTGTTGTGCGTTATTCAATTGTTAATTTGTATTGTTTGATGTGTTAAAATGAATTTGCGCATCGTCAGGTGAAAAGTTGATAGATTGTTCTTGTTTTTAAGGTTAGTTTGTTGGAAGGTAGGTATTTTATTGGCTGGTTGATAAAATGACTGGTTATGTTTACTTTGTTTATGGGAGCTGTGGATGGTCAGGTGCTTTTCGGTTCAAATCCTCATAATGATAGATTTTTTTTTTTTTCAGAACAGACCTTAGATTCAACGTTGACACAACCTAAAATGGCTACGAGGCAATATCCCAGCTAAATCAAGCACCCAAAAATGCTTGGTCTTTGTTAGTTAGTTAATTAGGTAGTCCACAGATTGTCTTCCTTGCACATTGGAAGAGTCCATAAACGTTCGGATCCCATCTTCAGGATGTCCCTCAACGCGTATCGACTGCTCCAGTTCTCTGTTGGTTTATTATTCTTCTTTGGCTACCTGTATAGTGTTCATGTTCGGCGACACCTCTTTTGACCTGAAGTTCTTGTAGTCTTTCGAATGTTGTCGACTCGACATCGTCTGCTAAATCACATAATGGTCCTATACCTCCACGAGAGCAACGAGAACTTCGGTCTGGTCCATTGCTTGTCCTGGCGATTGATCTATAAAATATGACTCTATCCTTATAGATGAGGTTGTTGTACAGGAGAATCTCGAGACTTCATTGGAGAGACTTTAAAAAAGGCGAGGGCTCGAAGACAACTTATGACAGACATCACAAAAAGACAGTCATCCTGTTTTAGTCACGTTAAATGCGTTGAATCAGATAGAAGTTGGGATTGAACCCGTACTAAACTATATCAAGGAACAACAACTCTGATTGTAAGTATGTCAATACTACTACAACCAAACAATGCTTCACAAATAGCTGTGTCAATTTGACGTAATGAAAGTGGAACTAGAAGAGGTCAACCACGCGAGCCGTGGATAGACGATATCTTCGAGGCTAAACATCTACCTTTCACAGACCAAGGCTCTCATGTAAAGGGACATATATTTCACCTTATTCAGCCAGTTTCACACACACACACACATACACATATTATTACGCACTTAAACAAGACAAGGAATTTGAATCATATAGGTGGGGGGGGGGGCGAAACCAAAATTTCAGGGCTGAACACACTCTTATTTCCCACCGTTAAGTTTTCTCTGTGTCGACAAACCTTGATTGATCGACTGTAGGTAGGTAGTTAAAAGAACTAAAGTCAAAGTCGAGATTATCGACCGTATTGCACCACATTTTATCCCAAGTGCCCCAGTCTTTCCTGTGCCACTCCTGAAAGCGTAGCACAGAGAACGACATCCCTTGCTCCGGCGACTAACCTCAATGGAACTCCGTAAAAACTGGACTCGTAAACCAACGATCTTCATAATGACACTAGAAAGCTCATTAAAGGTAATTGAAAAGAGATGAATAAATACAACCGAACGTTTCGGCAGTAATCTTTATCAGTGGATCACTAAATACAACATAAACTGGTATAGTAAAGTGAAATGCAGATACAAGCAAGCAGAAACTGAATTAATTAATCAATGTGATATCTGCACCAAGAACAAGATGGGAGGATATCAGAGAAACTCTACAGCACCACGATGTGTCTTTGGTCGAAGCAGACAGAATGAGCACGAAACAGGACCTTATATCTCCCTCGACACCCGAAGTAGGACCTTATATCTCCCTCAACACCCGAAGCAGGACCTTATATCTCCCTCGACACCCGAAGTAGGACCTTATATCTCCCTCGACACCCGAAGCAGGACCTTATATCTCCCTCGACACCCGAAGTAGAACCTTATATCTCCCTCGACACCTGAAGCAGGACCTTACATCTCCCTCGAAACCCGAAGTAGGACCTCATATCTCCCTCGACACCTGAAGCAGGACCTTGCATCTCCTTCGACACCCGAAGCGGTAAAAGAGGAAGTGAAGAAGAAGAAAAAAGAAGATATTTGCAGCAATGAACCAGAAGGGCTAGGAATGCTGAAAAAAAGAAGAATAAGATATACGAAAGCTTAGACACCAAAATGTCCCCCTTCCAGCAAAACAGCAAATGTTTGATAGCATCTTCATCCCTACTTTATGCTATCAGTGCCAAACATGGACAATGTTTAGGGTACTAGGATAGAGAAATAACACCTGAAATGTGTCTCCGTATAGGGTTACTAACAACAAACGAAGGGACAGGGTTGCGAATACCAGCATTAGAGACAAAGCTGGAATAAGACCATATCTAGATTATATTGACAGACAATGAAAGAAATGATTCAGTCATTTAGCCAGATCAAACTGCATATGAGACTTTTTACAGCAGAACTTCTAGGAGTATGGCGAGAGGAAAATCAAGAAAGAGAGGCATAAATGGTGTAGCTAAAACCTGTAAAAGGTTGAACAAATCCGTCACTCAAGCAGGACATAAATAGAAAACCACGACACTGGGCTACAAAATGTTGTCAGTGACATGACAAAAGAAGAAGAAGAAGAAGAAGAAGAAGAAGAAGAAGAAGAAGAAGAAGAAGAAGAAGAAGAAGAAGAAGAAGAAGAAGAAGAAGAAGAAGAAGAAGAAGAAGAAGAAGAAGAAGAAGAAGAAGAAGAAGAAGAAGAAGAAGAAGAAGAAGAAGAAGAAAAAGAAGAAGAAGTAGAAGAAGAAGATTATGATGATGATGATGATGATGATGTCGATAAGTAGGAGAAAGCTGGTGCTTTGTATGTATGTTGCCTAAATACATTTTTTAAACATATTTCTCTTCAGCTCACGCGGACGAGGAAGAAATTCAGCTATGAGTTGTACACGTCTGTTCGTTTTCTCAGCCTTGATGTTGCTGAGCACTTTGGCATTCGTTCAAGGGAAATCTTCTAATGGGAAAGCTATTCACGCAGGTGAGTGTTCATCCAATGCTGGAAGGCAAAATATTTATGATAACATCGTCACCAGCCCCCCACCCGCCCCATCTCCCCCCTTTTTTTTACATAACTAGACAGCCCTAACTGGTGGTACGAAGAAACATTTCAAACAATGCATTTTTCGTTTAGGTCTAAGTTAGTCTTCCCCAACAAACTAGGTCACGTTTCATTCACAAGTTTGTTGGGCTGGTCTACTTTTCTGCAGGTTACGGGTATGCCGCTCTGTTGTTTGATTTCTGGGCTTTCTTGCATTTACGGTTTTATTCCGAGAAAGAGAATGCCTGGGACATAGGTTACAGCACTCTCTAGGGGAGTTATGTTAGACCCAGTTTCTTCGTGTTTTTGGAGGGTTAAAAGCGCTGCCGTGCTGAAATATACAACACGCAATATTAACAGCATTGCGGAAAACCCCTGTAACCTTGTGCCAAGTTCACCTGGGTTAAGGTCTACCAATCAGAAGTGAGCTAGTGTGTATATTGGCGGGATCTGGGGTGCGAAACGTTAGTTTTACCGCATTTTCATTCACACCCTATGCTTATGGTAGACTGCCTTATGGTGCTAGATTTGTTCACTAAAAAAACCAGAACAGTAAATAGCAACCATAGATTCTAAGAAAGGCGATCTTGATCTTCTTCTTCTCCCTTTCTCTACTCCTGGAATACCTCGTGGAGTTAGGTCAGGAAGAGATCTTTGGAAGAATCCTCGTGAGATCACTTCATTATCTACAAGCACTAGGTCGGCCACTGTCGGTTTGTTGGACCAATCCCTGTGTTTCTAAAATTGGACTAGTCCAGTGATCGGCAAAGCGAGGCTCGCGAGACGTATGCGGCCCTTTAGCTACCTGAGTATGCCTCGGTCAGTAAATCGGATTGGGCTCTTGAACAGAAATGTGGCTCTCACAACAATGTTAATCGTCCCGCTGCTGATTTGGGGCTCTTTCGACTAAAGAGTTTACCGACCACTGAACTAGACTATCACATTCTGTCTAGCCACTGAACTAGACTATCACATTCAGACTAGCCACCGAACTGGACTATCACATTTAGACTAGCCACTGAACTGGACTAACACATTCAGATTAGCCACCGAACTGGACTAACACATTTAGACTAGCCACTGAACTAGACTAACACTGTTAGACTAGCCATTGAACTGGACTAACACATTTAGACTAGCCACCGAACTGGACTAACACGGTTAGACTGGCCACTGAACTGGACTAACGCATTCAGACTAGACACTGAACTAGACTAACACATTCAGACTAGCCACCGAACTGGAAAAACACATTTAGACTGGCCACTGAACTGGACTAAGACATTTAGACTAGCCACTGAACTAGACTAACACTTTTAGACAAGCCACTGAACTGGAAAAACACTTTTAGACTAGCCACTGAACTGGACAAACACATTTGGACAAATTTGACGCAAGGGGTGATCAGAGGAGATCAAATCAATAATGAAGTCACTGGAACAAAAATGTATTCACAGAGCCTATAATTAATTACATTGTCAACAAATCAAATGGATGCAGTTCCTCATCGATAAAAGCAGCAGTTACACGAGATTACTAGCTGCACAGGCAACTAATCATATAAGGCATCACTAGTTATATGGCAACATACTCTCGTCCTTTTCTGAATCTACATTTCAAAAGACATACCACACTGGGTACAATCGGAAAGCATACCAAATGAAATCCGCAGCCCACAGTGTTGCACCATGCACTTAGTTCAGTAGCTGGACGACAAAACTATATCCTTTCAGTCATCGTTTAGAGGAAAATGCGTGTCTGATGTCGAGAGGTAGCAGCCTACGCTTATCGACAAGGCATATGATGATAATAATAAACGACAGTCGAATGCTTTAGATGCTAAGAGCAATATCAGTTAAATGTCTAAAATATCCACTAGCTTATTAGCTAAAATATCCACTTGTTAAATGGCTAAAATATCAACTAGGTGAATGGCTAGAATATCCACTAGCTTAAGGCTAAAATATCAACAAACCTAATGGCTAAAATATCATTTTGCTAAATGGCTAAAAAAAAACCCGACTAGCTAAGTGGCTAAAAAAAAAAAAACCAGTTACTGTGTCAGTTCCCCCTGACTCACATCAGACATTGTATTTTAAGAGGGCAGTTTAAAAGTATGGTCCAAGTTTCAGTAATCATGTCACTGTATTGTAACCTGTCAGTATTTGTTGTTAAGGATATCAAGCATGTTAGGCACATCCCATCACCGTGCAGACAAACACTGATCTCATAATGACAGTTTAAAGATGGCCTCCCCAATTTTATCATGCACCAAAGAGGACTAGCGTTCTGTTATCAGTTATTTCGACAAGTAGATGGGTGAAACTTACAGAAATTCTTCATCAAAGCGCAATTGTAACTTCTATCAGTTAAAATTTTCAATTGCATCATCTCATATCATGTTAATCATTTGCCACAAGACTTGATACTCAAAAGGGGCGCGTCACGTAGAGGTGCACGGCGAGGCAATGACTTATTAATTAGGAGGAAGAGTGGGATGAGGAGGAGAGGAGAAGCAGTGGATGAAGAATGGAAAAAAGAAAAAGAGGAGAAGAAGATGAGGAAGCAGCATCAGGAAAAAAAGAAGAAGAAAAGAAAGAAGAAGAAGAAGAAGAAGAAAAGAAGAAGAAGAAGAAGAAGAAGAAGAAGAAGAAGAAGAAGAAGAAGAAGGAGGAGGAGAAGAAGAAGAAGAAAAAGAAGAAGAAGAAGAAGAAGGAGGAGGAAGAGGATGCGGAGGAGGAGGAAAAGAAGGAGCAGAAGAAGAAGAAAAAAAAAGAAGAAGAAGGTAAAGAATAATAGTAATAACAATAATAATAATAATAATAATAATAATAATAATAATAATAAGAAGAAGAAGAAGAAGAAGAAGAAGAAGAAGAAGAAGAAGAAGAAGAAGAAAGAAGAAGAAGACGAAGTTAGAAGAAGAGTAGGAAGAGGAAGAAAGAAGAAGGAAGAAGAGGAAGGAGGAGAAGAAGAGAAGAGAAGGAGGAAAGAAGAAAAGAGGAGGAGGAGGAGAACTGCATCCATCATAATCATCATCGTCATGAACATGATCATTTTTTGCCTTTTTTTCGTCTTCTTCCTAATCTTCCTTATCCTCATGCTTAGCCCCTGGCTCCATACCTCTCCGCTTTCCTACTACATCTCATTCTCCTATTACCCACTTTAATCATTTTTGATCTTCTAATTCTATTTTTTATATTTTTACATTTCGTCTAGATTTTATCCGTTCTTCAATTTCAGAAATTGCCAAGAAAGTTATCCAGGAAAAACAGAAAGTTTTAGAAAACTTCCAGAAGTGGATTGAAACGTACAAGAAGGCCGCTGCAAAAAACAACGTTCCCCTCAAAATTCAAGAACTCGTGCACGAGCAAGTCAGAAAAGCTGTGGAGAAGCAGGTGAAAGAAAAGGTACAAGAGGTCATAAACTCAACCAAACACTTCGCTTCTGCTCGTCAGCAATCACAAACAGCTGGTTCCAGAAAACATGAACGTCGTGAAAATCAAAGGAATAAATATCAGAATGACAAGGAACGTCGAGGAAATGAAAAAGAACATTTGAGGTCACACCAGGAACGAAGCGACAACTCTAAACACAACCAAAATCGTGTGCACGACCAGTCTAAACACAATCAAAATCGGGCTCACAACGACTCTAAACACACCCAAAGTCGTGCTCAAAACTCTAAACACACCCAACAACGTGCTCAAAACTCTAATCACAACCAAAATCGTGCTCAGGACTCACAGCTGAATGAATATATTCGCAAGATTAGGGATTTGCAGTCAACTTTTAGAAACAAGGGGATTGAACAGAAACATCTGGCGAAGTCTCTATGGGAAGCAAAAGTGGACGCTCTAAGGAAAGCTCTACGCCAGGTCAGCATCCCCTCGTTCTGATAACACAGATTCCAGGACCAGGACAGATGATGGTGGATCCACTGATATTGATGTCGGTGCAGACGATGTTAACGTAATTATTGAAAATCAGATAGACGGAACTACAGAACGTCGCAACGTCACTGATCTGGAATTTCGGAATTATCTTACAGAAACGCTAAAATCCGAAATTAAAGAGCTGCGTTCAGCAAAGCAGCGTTTTCTAAACGCTAAAGCCGAAATGGTTGATGCTGCGAACAAACTACATGAAGCATCACGAAATCATTCTTTTGAGTTTCAGTTGTTGGCACAATTCAAATCACAAGTGGGTGAGATGCTTCTTAGAAAGAAACAATACATCAGCCAGAAATTGCTGTTCAAGGAGCAAGTGGGGGAAGCGATACGAAACTTTTTAAAGCCACAAACAGAAGGAACAACACATTCAGCGCAAGAACTGAGCACTGAAGGACCTCAAGAGGCCGGTGACAGAGGCTCCACCCAGCAATACAGAAGATGAAGCACCTCAAGAGGTTGTGACAGATGCCCCGCCCAGTAATGCAGAAGATGAAGCACCTCAAAAGGTTGTGACAGATGCTCCACCCAGTAATACAGAAGATGAAGCACCTCAAGAGACCGTGACAGATGCTCCACCCAGTAATACAGAAGATGAAGCACCTCAAGAGACCGTGACAGATGCCCCGCCCAGCAATGCAGAAGATGAAGCACCTCAAGAGACAGTGACAGATGCTCCACCCAGTAATACAGAAGATGAAGCACCTCAAGAGACCGTGACAGATGCTCCACCCAGCAATACAGAAGATGAAGCACCTCAAAAGGTTGTGACAGATGCTCCGCCCAGCAATGCAGAAGATGAAGCACCTCAAGAGGTTGTGACAGATGCTCCACCCAGCAATACAGAAGATGAAGCACCTCAAAAGACAGTGACAGATGCTCCACCTAGTAATACAGAAGATGAAGCACCTCAAGAGACCGTGACAGATGCTCCACCCAGCAATACAGAAGATGAAGCACCTCAAAAGGTTGTGACAGATGCCCCGCCCAGCAATGCAGAGGATGAAGCACCTCAAGAGACCGTGACAGATGCCCCGCCCAGCAATGCAGAAGATGAAGCACCTCAAGAGACAGTGACAGATGCTCCACCCAGCAATGCAGACGATGAAGCACCTCAAGATGTTGTGACAGATGCTCCACCCAGCAATGCAGACGATGAAGCACCTCAAGATGTTGTGACAGATGCCCCACCCAGCAATGCAGACGATGAAGCACCTCAAGATGTTGTGACAGATGCTCCACCAAGCAATACAGAAGATGAAGCACCTCAAGATGTTGTGACAGATGCCCCACCCAGCAATACAGAAGATGAAGCACCTCAAGATGTTGTGACAGATGCCCCACCCAGCAATACAGAAGATGAAGCACCTCAAGAGACCGTGACAGATGCTCCACCCAGCAATACAGAAGATGAAGCACCTCAAGATGTTGTGACAGATGCTCCACCCAGCAATACAGAAGATGAAGCACCTCAAGATGTTGTGACAGATGCTCCACCAAGCAATACAGAAGATGAAGCACCTCAAGATGTTGTGACAGATGCCCCACCCAGCAATACAGAAGATGAAGCACCTCAAGATGTTGTGACAGATGCTCCCCCCAGCAATGCAGAAGATGAAGCACCTCAAGAGACCGTGACAGATGCTCCCCCCAGCAATGCAGAAGATGAAGCACCTCAAGAGACCGTGACAGATGCTCCACCCAGCAATTCAGAAGATGAAGCACCTCAAGAGACCGTGACAGATGCTCCAGCCAACAATGCAGAAGATGAAGGACTCACTGAAGGACCCCAAGAGGCTGGTACCAACGACAATATCGCTGATGCAAATCAAGCACCCGAAGAAATCGCGAGTTCTGAAAATGAAGAGGAAGCGACCACTCCTGAATCTGAAACCGTTTTGGAACAAGCTCAAAACTCTTCAAGGATCAACGCTAACATCTCTGACGCCAATGGGCTGAGGTTGGCCGCTAACTTAAGGGTCAGCGTAGATAACGATGATGGTGAAGGAAGTGGAACAGTTGTCGTTGTTATTGTCCTGTCTTGTCTGGTAATTTGTTCAGTTGTTAGCGTTCTCTCCGTGTTGGTGTGGAAGAGGTATCGGCGTCAGAGGCTGTACACTCGAATCCCAAGCGGGGATGTTTCTCGACAGTTCAAACAGCTTTTAGAGTAACATGTGGATCAATAACTTTGAGTCTTCTGAAGTTAGCATACTCCTTAATATAGGACATTTTATTTCTGTACTGACAGCTGTTTCTCTAATCCCCCAGTTGTCCTGCTGGTAAGATTCATCATTAGTCAGCAATGCTTTTACAGAACGTCGCTCTCTTCATAAGACTCCTGAATGTCTTTTGGGTTTGAGCTTTTCCCATAACTCTTATTATTTTTTGCTGATAAAAGCGTGTAGCCGAAACGTCGCCTCTTTTGATTAGTTCTTATAATAAAGTTAATTATATAATGTTTACAAGTTTCCACAGAACAAACTCCGATTTTCTTAGCTATTGGTTTTACCAAATAATTTTACGGTTATTGGTTTGCCAGTGCCTGCTGAAAGTTTGACTCTTATACTATAATAGAAATTAATATCAAGAGGTTTTTTTGTCGGAGAACTTGGAAACTGAATCAAACCTGGCGTGTCTGAATTGCGAAACAGAGGTCCAGAGCTGTTGGCGTTATTTTGTTTTCTCCACAATATGCCAGTGTACTAAGAAATGAACAATGGGATAGACTGGCTGGTTTTTCACCACTTGATGCTAAATTGGTATATGACAAGCTAGATTTAGCAAGGCCCCTTTTGGGAGCGAGTTAACTGTGCGGAGGTACATACAGATTATTGCGGTCTGAGAAGAACGGCGGTGCGGGGAGTTACCAGGAGATCTGGCCTACTCAAGGCAAAGGGGAGACGGATGTACAATCAGACAGTTACTGTCACAACCAGAATTAGAACTCTTTGCTTGCTGCTGGAGATGGGGACGAAGCGCTTATGGAAGTGTCCCGAATTCTGTGATGTCAGGTCTCAATTCAAGATTCAGTTGTGAAACCACGTTCATTATCTATAAATCACAAACGCCGACTACTACAATTAGATTTTTAAACACTGTTTTAAAAATCACACTGCAGCAAAAGTCAAAGAAACGGGAAATAAGCTAGACAGGGATAGACGTGGGAGAAATCCATCCATAGATTAGTTTGTTAGTCGACAGACTATTGTCATTATTCATCGAACCATTCAGTCCAAAAGTGCTTGGATCCCCTCGTCTGCAAATCTCATAAAGTCTAGCGGCTGACCACACCAGTTCTATGTTGGTTTCTCATTCTTCTTTGGTTTCCTGCATACTGCTCTTATCTGGCTACACCCCTTCCAACATGTTGTTCTTGCAGTCTGGTCATGGTTGCAGATTCACAGTTATCACTTGATTCTCGCAAACTTCTTTCTTCGCGTAAAACATTCAGTATATCAGCCTAGTCGATGATCAAGAGATTGACTTGCGTTGAGTCAAGAATTGACATCACAGCACTCGGGGCATTCCTATGCGTGCTCCGTCCTCATCTTTAGCAGCCAGCGCAGAGTTCCAATACTGATAGTACCAGTCACAGTCTGGTTATATGTCCGTCTTGCCTTTCCTCTGAGTGTAGTGAGCTGGCGAAAACCTCTGGTTACACCCAGGTGCCTCATTCTCTCCAGGCCATAATAATCTTCTTTCTCTACCGATTCCGTTGCTTGTTCCCAAAGGGAATTGACCACATCTGCCTTGTCATGTATTCACCAGCCAGTGGTGCAGATCCAGCCAATCTGTCTGTTCATTGCCCACTACGCCGACATATCCTGGAGAAAAGATCCACTGTGACCTTCCCAGTAATCGAGAGATTGAGAGATTGGCGAACAGCACCCTGGGAGAGTGTGCAAACAAGACGAAAGACAGAGAATCTTGAAGATTCATTGCATGGAGCCTTGATTGTGGAGATGACACCTGATTGATTGATAATGTTAATGCAGCTACTTCTATGTCATTTCTATCGAAGTTTTGTGTGATTCAGTTTAGCTTTTTTGTGTTTTCTGATGAAAACGTATCACCGAAGTGCCAACTGAAAATTCTAATTCTAATTTTGTAAAACTTATGAATAGATACTTAACATTTTTCCTTGTTTAAACTTTAAACGTTTAATACAGTTAAAACTATTTTATTTCTTATCTGTAAACCACTTTCCACTATTTTGATTTCTGCAGAATCCATTATTTGAAAAGTGGGACGACTTTTGTTGTTTGTTTCTCATTGTGGTTTTTGTCAGGGCACTCGGGCTTTCCCGAAACTCCCAGTTCAATTACAACGTGGGAAACATTTGGGAAAAGACAGCTTTACGTTGATGGGGAGCCAAGGAGTTGCAGTGGTGGATCGGCTTTCGGATACTTTCTCCAAGGTATGCGGGTATCGTAGGAAACGAACAGGCAGACAAACCAGCTAGTTTTGTAACACTCCGTGGTAAATTGATGCATGACAGGCGAAAACATTTTGGGAGCATCTGAACAGTGCGGAGGTATAATTAGATCATTACGGTCTCTTTACGTTTATTGTTCTGTTTATGTTTTTTCGACGCATCAACATCATAGCACACGGTTGTAACCCATAAGTGCTCCGTTATCCTAACTCACGCCTAAGTCTAAAGAATTTCAGCGCATTGCACAAACTCTGTAGCACCGGCGAGGATCCTGAATTATTTTGGGTAGATTTTTGACTCCAACTTTTGCCCAGGCAGCACCGTTAGGCTACTGTTTTCGATTTCCAACTGCCAAGGCAATTGTTACGTGCGCAACAATAAACACGGGCGTCCAATCTTACTACCCAGAGATCAGGAGAAATTACTAGAAGTCCACGTGAAAAAATTCTAGCCTTTACCAGGGCTTGAACCCGCGACCTCCAGGACTTGGGGCGGACGCCATGTCCCGAGACCACACAGCACCCCACTCATCACGGTATGAGGGGAATGGCGCTGTGGGAAGAGACTAGTGGATCTGGCAGACGCTCAAAACTCAAGGAGAAGGCAAGACAGATATATAATTTGACTCCATCGTACCATCGAGCTAAAATTCTTTGCTGGCTGCTGAAGGTGGGGATAGAGTGATAACTGGAATGTCCTTGGTGCTTTATATTGGTTCTTGAAAGTTAACTCAGCTGAAAAGCGTTAATTAAGTGTATCAACAAATGTCAACAACAACGCATGAGAATTTAAAAATAAACAACTGTAATTTAAACATCACAAGATTTGGTCAGATCAAGCTCCTGAATTTTGAGTTTTTTGATGGCTTTATCCAAAATTTTCCTCTTGCATTTTTTCTTACACTGTCCGCTGTCTTCTGTCCAGCTGTTTAAAAAATGTTTTTATGTTTTCTGAAACGAAACAAAAAATATGCAGTGTGAGCAGCAGCGATGATAAAAAGAAACTTGTGGAAGGGAGAAATAGTTCTACAACCTTACATACAAGGTTCGACAATTAAGTAATGAGTCTGATTTTATTATGGCCAAGACAAAAATGCCATACATAAAACAAAGCATGGAATCCAAAGAGGCTACCTTCGTCTTTGATCTGGCAACTTTTCATCGCCACCCGATAAGCAGACAATAAACAAGCCACCATTTTGTTGACCTAGTCAGAGGGGCATTGTCACGTCATCAGCATCCAGCAAAAAGCCATAGCAACAGAAGAACTACAGAGGTCATTCCAGTGTTTGTTAGATCGTGCTACTCATTGTATCAATGCACAAGGGGCTTACTTCCAATAAAATACAGGTTATATCTCCAAATGTTTATTATTTAAATTTTTATGAAATTAGTTTCATTACTTAATTGTCGGACCTTGTATATTATAAGGGATGATGGCTCACGGCGTCATCATTGCGTAGCAGGTCCTTTGCAGAACGTCGCTCTCATCACGGTCTGCCTGAAAGAAGCCCGGTATCTAGCCAGATTTCTCGCCTTGCGTGCATTCCCACATAAGGTGTCATTGATATCGTATGCCAGTCTTTCTACTGATCTACTCAGTCCCTCTTTCCTGGAACCAATCCCTTTTGCTATTGTTCTTCCCAGTCCGTTGTGGCTCTTTATATGACCAAAGTATTTCAGCTTTCGAGACAAGATGCTGTTTACAAGTCAATTTTCCTTGATGTTCAAATCTGTTAGGATGTTGGTATCTCTTTTCTTTTGGGTCCATTTCATTCTGAGAATCTTTCCATAACATTTCAGCTCACAAACGCCCACTGTCTTTCTTAACACAACGATGATGTATAAGGGAGGGCTTACCATGATTGCGAACAAAAAGAAATAGACATAAAAAGTATTAGTTTTGAAAGAAGCAAAACAAAATATCACAAAGATAAGCAATATGCCGACAAAAATACAAGATAAATAAATGGAAAAACATCTTATAACAACTGCAAGATTTATACAGTTCGTTAAAGAACAACAAATGAAATGGTTTGGCCACCTGACAAGAATGCCCTGATACCAACTGCCACAGAGAGCCACGCTAAAGAAATTTAATGAACACAGAGCAAAAGGGAAGACCACGCAAGAGATCGACCGACATCGACAGGAGCAACCTAACAGAAATTATGACTTACTTGTACAAAGCATTTGAATAAAGCACACAAACGATCCTTACATCTCTCCCACAACACCTCGATGAGGTAAATGGTGGAAGTAAAGAAGAAGAGGGAGAAGAAGATTTATGGAAAGTTAGACACAAGCAGACAAAGAAGGCTCCTGTTGACGATTTGCCATCTCATGGACACGTACAGGGTTGGATTTAGACAGGACGAGGCCCTCAGCGATATAAAGCCACTGAGGTCCCTACCGTTACACTAGCTAAACTAGGAAAATCTTGAAACATGTATAACTTTTGAATAAAAGGATTAAGGTAATGCATTGTCGTTAAATTTTTATTGAAAGAAATAATTGAGAACATGACTGAAATTTCTAGATATTATATTATATAAACGTCTTTAAATTTTAACATGTATTAAAAATATATTTTAAAATGTGCAATTTACTGCATACAAAAATCATGACATTTTTCAAGGCCTCTGCAGATTGTGAAGCCCTAAACTGTTTTTAGCTCCTGCTAAATCCGACCCTGGACATGTGTCAGCACAGGAACTGAAACTTGTTGTCTGAGACCACAAGAAGTGAAAAAGATTTGTTACTAAAGCTAGTCGACAGGATGCTTGATGATGATGCTTGTGGCGATGATGATTTTGATAATGATTATGATCAAGATGATGATGATGATGATGATGATGATAGTGGTAGGACAATGGTAACAGAGAGAATCTTGAGGATGATGATGATGATGATGATAGTGGTAGGAGAATGATAACAGAGAGGATCTTGAGGATGATCATGATGTTTATGATGATGACGATGATGTTAAAGATGATGATGATAAAGACGATGATGATAAAGACAATGATGGTGAAGATGTTGTAACTACTGCCCACTTCTCTGCACTGCGCCAAGTATATCTGCGACTGTGATATTTCTCCTATACTCAACAGGATCCAAGACTGTTTTGCGTTCTGTATTTTGTATTTTACCTGAAAGTCATGACACCAAAGGTTAATGATTACATAAACATTTTAAGTACGTGTATATAATATAATACAATACCATACATAAAAGACAATACAATATAATTTAATATAATATAATATAATATAATATAATATAATATAATATAATATAATATAATATAATATAATATAATATAATATAATATAATATAATATAATATAATATAATATAATATAATATAATATAATATAATATAATATAATATAATATAATATAATATAATATAATATAATATAATATAATATAATATAATATAATATAATATAATATAATATAATATAATATAATATTATATTATATTATATTATATTATATTATATTATATTATATTATATTATATTATATTATTTAATACAGCATGGTACAATTTAAAAAACTCAAGAAAGCCAACCAACCAAGAAATGAACGAACCAATAAACCAAAAAATCAACCAAACAATGAACAAGCCAATCAAACAACAAATCAACCAAACAATGAATGAACCAGTCACATACCAAACAACCAATTAACAAACCAATCAACAAACAAACCAACCAACCAACAAATGAACTAACCAATCAACCAAACAATGAATGAATCAATCAATCACACAACCAACTAGTCAATAAATGAACTAATCAAACAACAAATCAACCAAACAATGAACGAACCAATCAAATAACAAATCAACAAAACAATGAATAAACCAGTCACACAATCGACCAACCAATGAATGAACCAATAAACCAACCAATGAACAAACCAATCGAACAACAAATCAACCGACCAATGAACGAACCAATCGAACAACAAATTAACCAACCAATGCATGAAATAATCACACAATCAACCAACCAAGGAACAAACGAATCTACCATCTAGCCAATGAATGAATGAATCAACCAACCAACCAATGAAGTAACAAATGAAACAACAAATCAAGCAACCAATAAACGAACGAATCACCCATCTACCCAATGATTGAATCCATCAACCAACCAACCAATGAACGAACCAATCAACCAACTAACCATTGAATGAACAAATCAAACAACAGATCAACCAATCAAAGGATGAACCAATCAATTACCAATAAACAGATCGATAACCAACCGGCGAAAGGACCAGTCAAACAACAAAACTACCAACAAATAAAAAAGTAAACAATCAACCACGTTGTATTGTTGTTTAAAGCAAGGCTGCGATATCTGAACATTTCAGCCCCACTTGTGATAGACTGATTGACGTTCAACTCCACCAGGACCGCATAGTGTCAAAAAAATTACCCGGTGACACAAAGTGCCATCATTCGGACGAGAATCGCCCGGGCTCAAGTCCCAGAAGCCCCGTTCAACACTTAGGTTACATTTAGGGCCTCTGAGGACAGCCGAGTTGGAGCTTTACAGTAGCAGCAACTGACTGACTGACTTTCTACCCCACCAGCGATAAACACCCGATGACACAATGTGCCACCATGTGGGTGAGGATCACCGTGGAGAGGTCCCAGAAACTGCGTTCAGCCTTTAGGCCATATTTATGGCCAGGCTTTATTGCGGCCACTGGCAAGAGCCAGAGTAGGGTTTCAAATAACGAAAAGTGCCGTTCTGAAAAGGACGGGAAATGATTATTTATAACAATAGCAACAACAAAAATGCGTCCCAAAAAAGGGTTGGTTGTATTGAACCAATAACCCGATTCAACAAACTAGGTAGTCGCCTATTACAACATAACTTTGGTGGGAGGGGGGCAATTGGGTTTTTCTCTTTCTCTCCCCCTAAAAGTAGGCCCCAGAACCCCAGGAGAACATCATAAAATAAAATGAACTTTAATAGCAAAAACGCCTCCGTACCTTTTCTAACGGTCCATTGGATGTACTCTAACGAGTTATGGCTCTTCCAGTCAAAAGCCAAAGACTCCAAGTTGTTTCCCCTCGTATGGTAAACCAAATGTTGGGACTTTTCAGGCAAACACAATTTGGACACAACATCATTTAATTGCATTTCAGCAAGAAATATTCTTCGTCCATGTTTGGTTCTGTTTTTGTTTCTGGTCCGGGATTTTCTAGATGACTGTTTTTTCCCTGTATGAGTGGGAATGATGGAAGAAATTAAGGTATATGGAAATTTAAATGTGGAGTAAAAATTAAAACGTAAAAGACACTTGTCTACGTCCTCAGGCGTATTGGGTATATAGGGCTAGACCTATATTTTAGGGACCAATCGGCACTTGGTGGCTGATGAGATCACCATCACGCCGGCCACCTTTACTTCCTATGACTTCACCGGGTACCCATTTAGGGCTGGGTCGATCTGAGAGACATTTTTGTTATGTTATTACAATCGACGTCTTTGCACATTGGGCATCCCCATGCATGCTAAGTCCTCCGATGCAGCAGCCACTTCAAGGTAACTCTACTGATTGTTCCCATGCACAGTTGGTTACAATATCTCCTGTCTTACCTCAAGGTCGTGCTTCACCTTGTTTAAGTCCTCGAACACGCCGTCGTGTTAGCGTCAGAGAATAGCCATTATCTCTCAGCCTAGTCCGTACAGCCTTGATGATATCAGCTCTGTCCAGGCTTCTTCCCATTTGCATTGTTGATAACATTCAAGACCTTCTACATTGATACGGAATAAATGTTGAATGTTGAATTGAGAATCGACATCACAGCACTCTGGACACCCCAATAAGCGCTCCATCCCCATCTTCAGCAGCAAGCGAAGAGTTAAAATTCCGATTGTACCAGTAACTGTCTGACTGTATATCCGTCTCGCCTTTCCCCTTTACTCCCTGTCCATACAGGAATGGATCGCAAAATGTTCCTCCCCACGTCGCTTGTGTAAGGGGACATTAGTGATGATGATGATAATGATGACTTACTTGGACAAAGTTTCTTGTTGTTTCTGTCTCTGGAACCTTTGCTACAGTCTGTTGTCTCCGTCAACTCTTTATCGTTGTATTTGACGTCTGTCACACATTGATTGCAGCATTCGTCTGCGGGGATCCCCGAGGAAGTGCAGTTGAGATCTGACAGTTTGGGACAGTGTAGGCGTTCACAGTTGATGTGTCCATTCTGTCAAGAGATGATCAACTTATAAGTGACAGAACTGACATTTGGACCAGGGTAATTTCATCAGCGCACACGCACGCGCAAAGCAATGTTTGTTCCGTCCTTATCTTATACTTCTTCATCTTTCTCTCTTCATAATCATCCTCATAATCTTTTTCTTTTTCGTCGCCTATTCTTTTTTCCTTATCTCTTTTCTGATCGCTTCCTTTTCTTTAAACATTGCAACCTGTGTCGATTTTTGTTTCACAGGTCACAGTGATGGAGATTCTGTGCGGTTATTCTTTGGCAGCGTAACGGAGCAACTATGGTGGTGACCGGTGTCATATGAAGTTGGAACTGTGAGTGCCCGATTCTTCTTCTTCTTCTTCTTCTTCTTCTTCTTCTTCTTCTTCTTCTTCTTCTTCTTCTTCTTCTTCTTCTTCTTCTTCTTCTTCTTCTTCTTCTTCTTCTTCTTCTTCTTCTTCTTCTTCTTCTTCTTCTTCTTCTTCTTCTTCTTCTTCTTCTTCTTCTTCTTCTTCTTCTTTTTCTTCTTCTTTGCCAAAGAGAACACTAGCTAAGTGTAGCAAACCTTCCCGGCGGAGACGGCAAATAATTAAATACAAAAAGGAAAGAATCCACTTGACACCATCAGCCCAAGGGATCCCGCTAGTTCCACACATCTGCAGACGGGTCGGTACTCTATGAGTTAGTTAGCTAGTTAGTTAGTCAGCTACTTAGCCTCGTATATGGAACCATTTATCCGGTAATAGGATCTGAGCATTGAGGAAAATTGGCTCATAAACAGCATCCTGTGTACAAAAGCTGAGGCATTCTGACCATGTTAAGTGTCTTGGTGACCTGGACAAAAAAGTGATTGTGGGTGGCTGTGAACGGGGGAAGAGAGAGAGAGGGGGGGGACCGACCGGGGGGTGGGCAGTTCTCGGAAAACAAGGCAGAGGGGGACCACCGTGAATGTGGATACAAGGCACTGAAGATGCACTGACTATGAAAGCACATAGGGTTAGAGAATTGGCTAGAGAAAGAGAGAGTTTCAGTCGTGTCATGGCGAGAGCCACATTCTGTAAAGGACCTGCTGACATGATGATCATGATGATGTGATAAACATTATGCCGGCCGCCTTTCCATTCAATGACATTTCCTGGCACCCATTCATATTAGGTTCATCTTCTCTTTTTCATCTTCTTCAGCACTGCGAGCTCTTTATGTTCACTGTTGAAGATATCACCAGCCTCCATTCATCTTTCTTATCATTAAATTTATATAGAGTTTAGTAGGATTCCATTTATCACTGTATGCGATTCAGAGAAATATTGACATCTTAAAAGATGTGAACATCAAGAAAGATTGGCTAATAAACAGCATCCTTTCTCGAAAGCTGAAATATTTTGGTCATATCAAGCGCCACGACGGATTGGACAAAATTATAGCAGAAGGCATGGTACCAGGAAGGAGAGGCAGGGGCTGAATAACACGAAGATGGGCACAGGATATAAGTGACTCCTTGAGTGTGAAAGTACATGAGGCAGGAGAGCTGGCGAGAGACCGAGTTTCTTTCAGGCAGACCGTGATGAGAGCGACGTTCTGCAAAGGACTTGCTACATGATGATAATGATGTTCACTGTATGCGATTCAGAGAAATATTGACATCTTAAAAGATGTGAACATCAAGAAAGATTGGCTAATAAACAGCATCCTTTCTCGAAAGCTGAAATATTTTGGTCATATCAAGCGCCACGACGGATTGGACAAAATTATAGCAGAAGGCGTGGTACCAGGAAGGAGGGGCAGGGGCTGAATAACACGAAGATGGGCACAGGATATAAGTGACTCCTTGAGTGTGAAAGTACATGAGGCAGGAGAGCTGGCGAGAGACCGAGTTTCTTTCAGGCAGACCGTGATGAGAGCGACGTTCTGCAAAGGACTTTCTACATGATGATAATGATGATTCAGTTGTACTTACTAAACAGCTACAAACAATGCATTTCATTTCACCATATTGACCAATCACAGGCTTCCACCTTGTACCGTTTTTCTGTCTCCCTGTAGCAGACAGACAGTCTGGGGAGAAATACAGACATATCATCATGTGAAATACAGACATATCAACATGTGAAATATAGACATATCAACATATGAAATACAGACATATCAACGGGTGAAATACAGAGACATCAACAGGTGAAATACAGACATATCAACATGTGAAATACAGACACATCAACAGGTGAAACACAGACATATCAACATGTGAAATACAGACATATCAACATGTTAAATACAGACATATCAACATGTAGAATAAAGAAATCGTTCAGCTGAGTTAATTCAAAAAACCGTTATCACATCATTGGGTGCACTTTCGGAATCGCTCCATTCTCATTTTCTGCAGCCAGCGTAGAATTCCAAATACAGTGGTGCCAGTAGTCTTCTGATTAAACGTCCGTCTCGCCTTTCATCAGAGCGTCGAGTATCGGCCAGATCCTGTTGTCACTTCTCGCTGCATCACTCTCACCAGACTGCGGTGATCCATTTGCGAAGCATGCCACTCTGTGCGAGCGAAGCATGCCTGCCCTCACCTTCCTCAGCTTCCTGAATGTTTGATGTTTGATGTGTGAACAACGGATCAACATCATGGCACATGGGTAGTAACCCATAAGTGCACCGTTCTTCTTCTAACAGAAGTCTGAGTCCGAAGAAGATCAGCACAGTAGCACCGGCGAAGATCCTGAAATACTTTGGGTAGATTTTTGGCGTGACAATGCCTTGTATTCGCATTAAGATCACTGAGAAACAAAGATTGAAATGGTTCGACCACTAGATGAGAATAAACCCAACGATGCCGGCAGCGAGAGTGTAAAACATGAGAATGGGAACACAGGAAGGCGGAGGGAGATCTATAAGAAGATGGACTTAAGGAATCATTTAAAGCCAAAGACTTCACAGCATCTCAACACATCAAGCACCCGAGTGCTTCCTGACTCAGAGACCTATCACCGGTTCAAGGTCGATGGAGTAAAGGTCAATATTTACAGATCACTGGTATTGTCTATTTTCTTATACAGGTGTGAAAGTTGGACTCTCACTGTAGAAGTAGAAAAGAGGATTCAGGCTTTCGAATGTAAATGCCTAGAATTTTATGAATTAAGTTATTTTGAACACGAGACTAACAAATATGTCAGAGACAAAGTTTACAAATTTGCAGGACATCAGGAGCCTCTCTTGGCAGTGGTGAAACGTCGCAAGCTAGCTGTGTTCGGGCACGGTGAGACATGATTGAGAATCTACTTCAAAGAACAGTGGGAGATTGGGGTGGGGTGGGTGGGGGGGGGGGGAAGGGCTGGTCTAAGAAGACGGGCACAACAAGAATCTGGAACAATAACATCAAAAGATAGACAAGACTAAACTTCTATACACTTGGACATCAAGAGAAAACTGAGAGCGATTGGCGGGTTTTATTTCCTAGGGTTTCTGTCGATATATATCCACGACCTAAAGGGTCAAGGGTTATCTTATGTTATAGATGGCGACACCTACCGGTACACAGGTGATAGGTACCATATACAAATAATAATGATGATAAAGATGTTTTTATCCACAGGAAAATCTCTTTAACACGAACAGGAATGTATTATACAGAATCCCCGGTTAGCAGGATTTTCTTTAACACGAAATCCTAATTTTTTGTACAGTGGAATTACTGTTAACCAAGTATTACTTTATCTTTTCCTCAAAGTCCATGTCGTGTGGTGTTGGTAGCCATGTCTATCCACAACCTTCTGTGTCGTGTACTTTCAGTTAACTCTGATACAGATGATCTTCCATACTCCATGCCGTGTGGCGTTGGTAGTCATGTCTATCCAAAACCTTCTGTCTCGTATACTTGTAATCAGTTCTGACCCAGACGATCCTCCCTGCCATGATGTCAGACTGTCCAGCATCTTTTCTCTCGGTCTCCCTCGGCCTCTCCTCCAACTTTCCGTCACGATGTACTCCAGTTTTCTCCTCCTCATCACATGACCAAAGAATGTAGATTGTCTCTTTTTGATGTTGGCAAACAGTTCTCTTCGTGAGTCAGTTTCTTTTTATCTGTCCGGGGTGTTCTCGTCATTCGTCTTTAAAATCACATCTCCGCAGCTTCCACAATTGGTTTGACTAGCGAGCCAACCATCCATGATTCACTTCCATATATCAGGATAGAATTTTATATAGTTCTTGAGAACTCTCTGTCTCACCACAACTGACCAAAAAATTTTACATAGAATATTGTTCATTTTGTGACATTCTGAAATGGCTTGACATATTCAATAACGTTTTTTTAAAAAAAAAATTATATACTGTTTTAAAGCATAATATTTTCAACCTCAAAATGAATATTCATACCTCCTGCCTCCAGGGTTTGATTCTGATTGTGTGAAATGAGTTTAGTGTGGCCTCTGAGGCTTGTGACGTCTGCAATAAAGTTAGCACAAAAATCTGTTTAGTTAATGCAGAATCAAGAATGTTTCCTTCTTCTTCTTCTTCTTCTTCTTCTTCTTCTTCTTCTTCTTCTTCTTCTTCTTCTTCTTCTTCTTCTTCTTCTTCTTCTTCTTCTTCTTCTTCTTCTTCTTCTTCTTCTTCTTCTTCTTCTTCTTCTTCTTCTTCTTCTTCTTCTTCTTCTTCTTCTTCTTCTTCTTCTTCTTCTTCTTCTTCTTCTTCTTCTTCTTCTTCTTTCTCGTCTTCTTCAGGCTGCATGTTATTCACCAACAAACATAACAACAAAAATAACGAAAAATACAATTAATGATGAAATAGCATCAACAAATGCAATATTAGCAACTCTAATAATAATACGCATAATAACAAAACATGCACACATCTCACCCTGACAATGAAGACAGCAATCATCATCTACTTTCATCGTTTTCTGACATTTGTGGTTCGGTAGGCAGGTCTTTAGATGACAGATGACATCACCTCTCTGAGAATAAACACAAACTGAGAACTTATTTCAGATAAAATGGATCTGGTTCTGGATATCAAAGGCTGCGTTAGCACAGTCAATAGGAGGCTCGCTTTCAAATCCAGCTGCAACTCGCTGCAGCCATGGTCGGTGTTTGAAACCGGGCGGTTCCTGTGGCTCACCCAGCTTTCAGGAAATTGGTACCAGAGCTAACACTCTGGGGTAAATGGAGGATCGTCGCTGTAGCTACAGAGTTACAGGCGGACAATTTCTTATCAGCTGTCCGTACTGGTGGCAGAGCACTTATGGTTTAAAACTGTGTCTCCAATGACGCTGGTTCACATCTCCCGACATTACTTTTTATTTTTTATCGTTTAAAAAAGAATTTTTCTTGCCAATTTCAGCCAGCGCCTAGAATAAGCAGCAGCTTTATCTTGGATTTGTTCATTTGCTGCGTATGGTGACGCTTGCTTCTTTTCATTTTATTTGTCAGGTGATATTGTCTCCTGTTACGTTCTTTGTTTGAGGAAAGGGATCGTGAACTGCCCTTAGAACGGCATTTTGTTTGCCTGGGGCGGCTCTGAACGGGTATGGGCGGGAGTGAATCGGGTGGTAGAGCAACATTCCTGGCTGGTCTCGATCTGTGTGGTTTCTTGTGCTGGTTTGGTTTGCTGTCATGGTGGCTTGGGCGGCTATTGGCTATTGTTTGTCTGGATTCTTCTGGAAAGGGAGTGTTTTTGTTCTGCTCGGTCTCGTCTAAGTGGAATTTTCTGCTTGGGTTGCCTCTGGTGTGTTAGCAGTTCTTGGTTCCCTTGTAGGCGTATGGTCATCGTCGGTGTTTCTGTTTCTTGTTTGACTGGCTCCACCCATTGCTGTGTCATGGCAGTTGGAAATCGACAAGAATAGCATAACGGCGCTGCCCTGGCAAAATGTCGAGTTAAAAATCGATGTCAAGTATTTCAGGATCCTCACCGGTGCTACAGAACCTGTGCAGTGTGCTGAGCTTCTTTGGACTCAGACTTGAGATAAAAGAAGAACAGAGCAGTTATAGTTTACTTCCCGTGTGCCATGAAATGTCTTGTTAATAAGTTCAAGCCTTTATTCTTGAACATTCTGCTGACGGAGGTGCAGGTATCTACACTGACAGATCCTTCGCTCGACACGTACAAAGTTCATGGTCTTTCACGGTTCTAGTTCAAGGGAAAACTGTAAAAGAAGAAAGCGGGACTTTTGCCTCGACTACAAGTAGTCTGACTATGGAGGTGACGAAGGAAACAAAAGCAATGATGTTGCTAGAGACACAGTGTGTTTATCCATGCATGCTTTTTTTCCAGTTGATTCGATGAGCATGCTTAAGAAGGCAGAGACAGGATGGATTCGAAGAAAATGGTTGGAGTCGCTGAGGAAATCTCTTCTGAAAGGAATTAGTTTCATTTTTGAGCCAGGACACTCTGGCGTAAGAGGGAATGATTGAGCAGATTGGCTTGCTGGCAGGGCCACTGTAGGTACAAGAGAAGCAATAGACTGGGCGGACATTGTCAATGCTCTCACGGAGGCAGGACGAGAAGATGTTTCGGGAGACGACGGTGAGTCGGCAACTCTCAAAAGACTACAAGAACTTCAGATTAAAAGAGGTACCGCCAAACATGAGCACTATACAGGTAGCCAAAGAAGAATAGTGTGCCAACGCTGTCGCCACACGCTAGGGTACATACTGAAGATGGGATACGAGCGCCTTTGGTCTTTTCTGATGTGCAATGAGAATAGTCTGTCGAATAACTAACTAACTAACTAACTAACTAACGAAATAACTAACTAAGTAATATATATTCAAAACGTCTTCAATAATATAAAACTCGGTGTGGTCCATGCCACTTTAAAAAAATGAGGATTTGGGATATCCCCTCAAGTGGCTCACAGGGAGTCTGCCCTATATACCACGACGTAGGTACGTCACTGGCACTCGAGAATCACACACTGACTTGTACCCTTGTTCATTAACAACACACTACTCACATAGCAAGCACACAGTACACATTGGTTGCTATGCTTGGGTTTCAGTGCTGTCTTGTTAGAAGGAAACACATCGCCGTCCTCATAAAGGTGTCCGTAGAACTGACAACCAGGCCCTTCTTTGACTTGGCTTCTGTTCTCATCCTCCATTTGAACTGTGGTTCGAAGAAAATAAAAAGTTCTTAGGGTCACTACGCCAAAAATTTTTTTTTTACAGAGTTGGAGCAATTATTTTATAATGGTCATTTACAGGGATACATGTTATTACATTTGCATACTTTAAGTGTGGAAAATCATGGTTGTCATGGCAATAGCTGCCATCTTGCGGGGGAAAAAAAACATGTACTTAGAATCCTAAAATTTCAAAAACAATTGTACGTATTTAACAATAAATAATAGATTCATGACCTCCTATCCTTTTTAGAGGTACAGGTATAGTTTATTTACTTAAAACATGTTTTTAAATATTTTTGGTAGAATTTTGAAATGTAGGTTTATTGAAACAGTCAAAAAAATCTAGCATCATAAGACAAAATCTAATTTTAAAAACAAAAACTTTTTAAAATCTACTTTTGAAAAAAAAAAAACAGTCCCTATAATATTGTTTAAGGAGTTTACATACTAGATATCATGTTTATAGTGTTTATATTAGCTGAGATTTTGTTTGTTTGTTTGTTTGTTTTAGTATCCAGAAGCCATGAGTTGTTAACCCTAAGGCTCGGTATTGTGGATATCGCAACCTTTCTGTCTTGATTCCATTGTGAATACCGTAAATCTGGGAGAAACGTGGCTTTCCTGCCTACCCCCGGGATTGAACCCGGACCACAAGGAGTTCGTCACCCGGTCTTCGCGCAATCCGGTTTAGCCAACTACGCTAAAGAGCCGACTGACTGACTTTCTACCCCACCAGGACATCACACAAGCGATAAACACCCGATGACACAAAGTGCCACCATGCGGATGAGGATCACCGTGGAGAGGTCCCAGAAACCGCGTTCAGACAATTGGCCATATTGATGGCCTGCCTATATTGCGGCTCCTGGCAAAAGCCAGAGTAGGGCTTCAAATAACAAAAAATTAGTCCTAAGAAGGACGTAAGGAATTATAACGCTAAAGAGCCGGGCAGCTGAGATTTTAAGATTTCCCACACACAACTAACAAAAACAGAGATATGAGAAAACTGACTTCAAAACTCTTTTTTTTTTAATCTCAAAAAAGTGCATAGGTTGTTGTCTTTAGTATTAATTTTTCAAAGCTAAATTGTTTACACATAAATTTTTGTGTAATCTATTCTTTACAAACACGAACACATTGAAAAAGTGATATTTCTGTTATAAATTGGAAAAAATGCCGTGTAGGGACCCCTTAATTTCTCCGGGAATCCCCGAGTTGCACGGACAGTCTAACGTGTTTGTTTTATTTGACGGATCAGCATCATGGCTCACGGGTGTAACTCATAAGTGCTCCGTTCTACTTCTAACTCAAGCCTGAGTCTGACGAATCTCAGCGCAGTGCACGAACTCCGTTTCACCGGCGAGGATCCTAAAATACTTTGGGTAAATTCTTAACTCCAAATTTTCCAGGGCAGCGCCGTTAGGCTACTCTTTTCGATTTCCAACTGCCAAGGAGTTTTGTAGGTGCCCAACAATACACACGAGCGTCCTATTTTACTACGTAGAAACCAGAGGAAAATACTAGAAGTCCGCTTTAAAAAAAACCCAGCCTTCATCGGGGCTTGAATCCAGGTCCTCCAGCACTCAGGGCAGACACCCTAACCCGAGACCACTCAGCCCCTCCCCCCACCCCGGAAAGTCCAATATTATAGGGGTGTTACGGCTTGAAATGAACACCCCATTTGACCCCATCTTGAGCTGTACTACGACTGCATAAGGCAGAGGTGATCTCAAAACTTTGGGACAGGGTAACAGGTGAAATGGAAGATACTGAAAATCGTACATGGAGAGGATGATGCAGGAAGGAATGGCTGTGGGCTCTGGGCGCCTCTCGAGACTCAGGGGAGGGGAGGGGGAGGCACGACGAGTAGTTAACCAGATGACAACGAGTAACATCAGTATGAAAACTCTTCGCTGTCTGTTGAGGAAGGGGACAGAGCTAGTATAGGCCTATCCGGAATGTTCTGATGTCGAATCTTCACCAAGATGATCCTAGAAATGAACACCGACTAACCGCAACCCTAACACCCCTATAATATTGGACTTTTCGGGAACTCCGGGATTTCCTGTGTTTGGGGTGAATACACAATAAAGAACCACAAAGCAAAACAAAAAAACTTTCAGATCTGATACGAGGAATACATAAGATCTGGTGCCGTATCCACGATGAAGGTTGGCTAGAAGCTAGTCTGCGAATAGGAAGGTTCTAGTGTAGGTCATATGAAGGTCGTAGGTTCAGACCATATGAAGGTCATAGGTTCAGGTCATAAAAAGGTCGTAGGTTCAGGTCATACAAAGGTCGGAGGTTCAGGTCATAAAAAGGTCGTAGTTTTATACCATAGGAAGGTCGTACGTTTAGATCATAGGAGGGTCGTAGCTTCAGTTCAGTTGATAGGAAGGTCGTAGCTCCAGTTCACAAGAAGGTCGTAGATTCAGGTCACATAAAGGTCGTAGGTTCAGGTCATATAAAGGTCGTAGTTTCAGGTCAAAAAAAGGTCGTAGGTTTAGGTCATAGAAAGGTCGTAGGTTTAGGTCATAGAAAGGTCGTAGGTTTAGGTCATATAAAGGTCGTAGGTTCCGGTCATGACGGAGCCGGACGTTTTATAAAAATGATCTCGGCTCCCAGGTCGACCCCGCCCTAAATAGGTACCAGGTACAGCCCTGGAAAGTAAAGGCGGTCGGTGTGATGTTGACCCCATCCCCCACCGAGTGCCGTTTGGTCTATAAAATATAGGTCTAGCCCTATATGCCCCTATATAAAGGCGTGGAAAAAGACCTCTTACTCACCCAACCCCCCACACCCGTCCTGTTTATATACCGGACAGGGTTGTCTTATATTTTGTTTTAAATACACAATGGATATCTCGACCATTGCCGGTCCCAAAGCAGGATAAGAATAGAGGAGGGTTGGGCGTGGGGCCACCTCGTAAAAGCTTTAGAAACTTGCAGAAAACGATGCCATACCTGTGCACAAACAAGTCAAGGGGTGTGCGGAGTGCACGTGGGAGTGTTGCAAATGAAAAATATCCAAGTAGGGTATATCAGAACTGAGGAAGAAACCACCAACCCTATGTGACATTTTATGGCCCAACAGGACATTGATAATGATTATGACACACTGGACAGTACTGTCACACGACTGTCTTACCCTCACACGTAGGACAGCACTGTCCCACCACAATTCTCGGCTCTTCGCACTTCGGCTTCGGACAGTCCATGCCGTTGCACATCACTTCACCACCCTGTGGGAGCAGATCATTACATAGACACACTGTCTTGTAGACAAGATGGAGAACATTGACAATACGTTGACACGCTCAGTGACAAGGACAGTGTGTAAACTCGATTAAAAAGACAGATAATATGTGGACAAGGTGGGAATAAAAACATTACCAAAATATAGCAGCACTAAAAAGATTGACAATATGTGGGCAAGATCAGAAACATGGACAATATGGGGGCAAAATGAGAAACATGGATAATATGTGGACAAGAAAAGAAACATGGACAATATGTGGGCAAAAAAAAAAAGAAACATGGACAATATTAGGAGACGATGAGAAACATGGACAATATGTGGGCAGGTTAAGAAACACGGACAATATGTGGGCAAATGAGAAACATGGACAATATGTGGACAATAAAAGAAACATGGACCATATGTGGGCAAGGTGAGAAACATGGACCATATGTGGACAAGATAAGAAACATGGACAATATGTGGGCAAGATGAGAAACATTGACAATATGTGGAAACTCTAAGAAATGGACCATATGTGGACAAAAAGAGAAAAATGGACAATATGTGGAGAGGATGAGAAACTTAGACAATATGTGGGAAAGATGAGAAACGTGGACAATATATGGGCAAGATGAGAAACATGGACAATATATGGGCAAGATGAGAAACATGGACAATATATGGACAACGTGGGTAACATGGACAATATGTGGACAAGATAAGAAAAATTGACAATATATGGACAACGTGGGAAACATGGACAATATGTGGACAAGATAAGAAACATGGACAATATGTGGACAAGATAAGAAACATGGACAATATGTGGACAAGATAAGAAACATGGACAATATGTGGACAAGATAAGAAACATGGACAATATGTGGACAAGATAAGAAACATGGACAATATGTGGACAAGATAAGAAACATGGACAATATGTGGACAAGATAAGAAACATGGACAATATGTGGACAAGATAAGAAACATGGACAATATGTGGACAAGATAAGAAACATGGACAATATGTGGACAAGATAAGAAACATGGACAATATGTGGACAAGATAAGAAACATGGACAATATGTGGACAAGATAAGAAACATGGACAATATGTGGACAAGATAAGAAACATGGACAATATGTGGACAACAACTACTAATAACACTACTGCCACCAGTACAACTATTATTATACCACCACCACTGCCACCAACACTACCACCACTACTACCACCACTACTACCACCACCCCTACCACCACTACTACTACCACCACTACTACCACCACTACTACCACCACCCCTACCACCACTACTACCACCACTACTACTACTACCACCACTACTACCACCACTACTACCACCACTCCTACCACCACTACTACCACCACTACTAACACCACTACTAACACCACTACTACCACCACTACTACTAACACCACTACTACCACCACCACTACTAACACCACTACTACCACCACTACTAACACCACTACTAACACCACTACTAACACCACTACTACCACCACTACTACTAACACCACTACTACCACCACCACTACTAACACCCCTACTACCACCACTACTACTACTACCACCACTACTACTACCACCACTACTACTAACACCACTACTACTACCACCACTACTACTAACACCACTACTACCACCACTACTACCACCACTACTAACACCACTACTAACACCACTACTACCACCACTACTACTAACACCACTACTACCACCACCACTACTAACACCACTACTACCACCACTACTACTACTACCACCACTACTACCACCACCCCTACCACCACTCCTACCACCACTACTACCACCACTACTAACACCATTACTAACACCACTACTACCACCACTACTACTAACACCACTACTAACACCACTACTACCACCACCACTACCACCACTACTACCCCCACCACTACCACCACTACTACCACCACTACTACCACCTCTACTACCACCACCACTACCACCACTACTACCACAACTACTTCCACCACTACTACCCCCACTACTACCACCACTACCGCCACCACCACTACCACCACTACTACCACCATCACTACCACCACTACTACCACCACTACTACCACCACTACTACCACCACTACCACCACCACTACCACCACTACTGCCACCACTACTACCACCACCACTACTACCACCACTACTACCACCACGACCACCACTACTGCTACATTTACTAATAGTACCATCCCCATCACTGCTAGTACCACTCCTACTACTGCCACTAGTACTACCACCACTACTACCACTACTACTACTACGAACACTGCCACTAGTACTACTATTACCACCACCACGACTAATACTACTACTACTACCACTACCACCACTATCATCGCAACAACAAAAACTACTACTACTGCTGCTACTGCTACTACTGCTGCTACTGCTGCTACTACTACTGCTGCTACTGCCACTACTACTACTGCTGCTACTGCTACTGCTACTACTACTACTGCTGCTACTGTTGCTACTGCTGCTACTACTAGTGCTGCTACTGCTACTAATACTACTGCTGCTACTGCTGCTACTACTACTGCTGCTACTGCTACTACTGCTGCTACTACTACTGCTGCTGCTGCTGCCACTACTACTACTGCTGCTACTGCTACTACTGCTGCTACTGCTGCTACTGCTGCTACTACTACTGCTACTGCTACTACTACTACTGCTGCTACTGCTGCTACTACTACTGCTGCTAATGCTACTACTGCTGCTACTACTACTGCTGCTGCTACTGTTACTACTACAACTACTATAGTTCAAAGTCGATACTTCTATTTTCTACATTTGAGCCAGAACTCACACCCCACCCTTGTCCACTTATTTTCATGTTTTTTGTTTTTTTAAATTTAGCATTACTGATTAAATTTAATGTTACCCAGTGGGATAACGAAATTGATAACGATAGAAAAGCGAATGAAAGAATGAATATATATGAGTTCACCTTACTCTTAAACATGTGCAGTTCACACAAGGATTGTCACCAAAGGGAAGCAGTTTGGGATGCCAAGTGTCTCCAACACCGTAGTGCTCGTCCCCAAGAGTACAGATTTCTGTTTCAAATAGAGTGGAACAGGAAAACCATTGTTTCTAATGGAGTGTTCAAGGAAAACCATTATTTCAAATACAGTGTGGCCCCAAAAAAATTGTTTAAAAAAATGTGTGGCTGGAAAACGTATGTTTCAAATAAAGTATGGCAAGAAAACCTTGTTTCAAATAGCGTTGCAAGAAAACCATTGTTTCAGACTGAGTGTGGTAGGAAAACCAGTGTTTCGTGTACAAGTAGCTGGAAAACCAATGTTGCAATTAAACTGTGGCAGAAAAAAAAATTTTGTTTTACATTGAGTGTAGCATTTAAAAAACATTGTTTCAAATAGAGTTGCAGAATTGTTACTGTTTCCACCAGAAAGGCAGGAAATCACTGTTTAAAAATAAAATCTTTTTATGTGATTATTAATTTTGTAATGTGATCAAATCAAGCCTACTGCTTTTACTTTCAGTCAATTTCCTTGCACTTGATTCGACTATGCTGATCTAGGATCATCATCATCATCAATCAGAAAGTCTACAAATATATTTGCTCTAGTCCTGGCATGAATGAAACTCTCTTTTTCTCAAGCCAGTTCTCTAGCCCTGTGTGCTTTAACAGCCAACGAATCTTCACTATCTTGTATCCTCATCCGAGGAGGTCAGCCTCTGCTCTGTTTTCAGAAAACTACTCACCGCTGTCTCCAGCCATCATGACGTTTAACAGATATTCAAAGTTTGTGACACTGGCCTCGAATCAAAAGTTAGAAACACAAAATTACTCCTCGTTAATGCGATCCATAGAGTGTGTATAAACTTTCCGTCCTTTTTTTTTTTTTGTTGTTATTTGAAGCCCTACTGGCTCTTGCCAGGGGCCGCAATATAGCCTGGCCATAAATATGGCCTAAAGGCTGAACGCGGTTTCAGGGACCTTTCCACGGTGATCCTCACCCACATGGTGGTACACTGTGTCATCGGGTGTTTATCGCTTGTGTGATGTCCTGGTGGGGTAGAGATTCAGTCAGGCGACCCATATGGTGTGTATAGACTTTCCGTCCTTTTAAATACGAAATTTTTTGTTTTTTGAAGCCCTACTCTGGCACTTGCCGGGGGCTGCAATATAGCCTGGCCATAAATATGGCCTGAAGGATTAACGCGGTTTCTGGGACCTCTCCATGGTGGCACTTTGTGTCATTGGGTGTTTATCGCTTGTGTGATGTTCTGGTGGGGTAGAAAGTCAGTCAGTCAGTCAGGCGATTCAGTGACCGTTGGCTAGCACTGTAACAATTGTATTATTTCCCGTGGATTATAAGGGAGCCGCCGTGGTGTAGTGGATAGACGCTAGCCTGCCAATCGGAAGTTGTGGGTTCAGACCCTCACAGAGCTGGATAATTTTTTCCTTCAGAAATTACCTCGGCTTTTTCTTCAACCCAGCTCCAAACGTGCACCAGGTACAATTCTGGGAGGTAAAGGCGGTCGGTGTGGGGCTAACCACATGACCCACCTAGTGCAGATTGGTCTATAAAATATAGATCCAGCTTGAAGGAGTGGAAAAGGGCCCTTTACTCCTCACCTTCAGTAGCCAGCGCAGAGTTCCAATACTGGTGGTACCAGTCACAATCTGGTTATAAGTCCGTCTTGCCTTTCCTCTGAGTGTAGTGAGCCGACCAGACCCTCTGGTTACACCCAGATGCCTCATTCTCTCCAGGCCATGATAATCTTCTATCTCTACTGACTCCATTGCTTGTTCCCAAAGGACCTTGACCACATCTGCCTTGTCATGTATCAGTTCACCACCCAGCGGTGCAGATCCAGCCAATCTGTCTGTCAGTTCATTACCCACTACGCCGGCATTGCCTTTACCTTTGTCGTGGATTATAGGGAAAACATTTCTAATTCACAGAAAACGTCAAATAGTCATGCACTGTCTTACCACTTGAAGTTCCTTACTTGAGGTTCTGGGACCACATTTATAGGGAAAACAAGAATAGACCCACTGCCTCCCCAACAAGCATGTCGTAAGAGTTGACTAACTGGAGGTTCCCTTCAAAATCGGACTACATATCCCTGAGAGGCAAGGAACCAACAGTCTGCATATAGATAAGTCAGATTTGTAAAGCGGATGTGCACGCAACACTTAGGTTCTGGAACAAGTCTAAAGTCCAGAGGTAGATGAATAACCAAAAATCTCTACCTGAGTTTACAGCTGAAGAAGAAAAAGACCACTTACAGTTGGCTGAATAGATCTACGACACTGATCCTCGATCTAGCTATCAAATCTCTTTCAGATAACAGTTTGTCCATCAAGTGATAATACACTCCCATTTGTATCACTGTATACCATTTGCTTGCTTGTCTTCAGCTTGTCATTCCAGTCTTTTTCTTACCGGCTTTCACCAACTATAAATTCCTGCGGATAAGTCCTGGTTGTTCGTCCAACTCTGGACACTGGTCTTGTTTCACAACTTGATTTTTGTGTCCACATCGGTTTTACAGATATGGCTGATTTTAGGCAGGTTGTTTGTTCTTCCCCACTCGGGCAGATGCGGTTCGACTTCGAAGGAGACAACTATAAATTATTTGTCTGTTACCATTTTTGAAGGGTCTGTGGCTTAGGCGTTGCGAACGCGCTTAGTAATCCCGAAATGCTGGGTTTGACCTAAACTGTGGACAATTTGTCTTACGTTGGTTTCGACAGTGGTACCAAGAGTTGACCGTTCAATGGCAAACTACTAAACGTAAAACTTCTTCTTCTTCTTTTTCAGCGTTCCGAGCCCTTGAGGTTCATTGCTGCAGATATCACCAGCCTCCATTCATCTCTCTGTTTGGCCTTTTCTTTCCAGTTAATGACACCAAGTGTTTGCAGGTCTGTCAGGACATTATCTCTCCATATTCTTCTTGGTCTGCCTCGTGGTCTACAACCATTGATCTCCCTTGTGTATACAGCTTTTACTTCTCTGTCATCTGACATTCCCTTGATATACCCAAGCCATTTCACTCTATTAGATCTGTCTATCTATTGTCTTCTTCACTTGCAGCCCAGTGTCGTGGTTTAAAATATTTGTTTTGTGCCTCTCGCGTGATTTGAGTGACAGTTTTCTGGATCCTCTGGCCATATTCAGCTACTCCATCTATCCATTTTTTCCTGGGTCTTCCTCTGGCCTTTCTTCCCGATGTTCTACTGTAAAAGGCCTTATAGGCAATCTGATCCGGTTGCAATCTTACTAAATGGCCAAACCACTTCATTCTCTGTCTTTCAATATGTTTCATGCATGCTCTTGTTCCAACTTTGTCTCTAATGCTGTCGTTTGTGACTCTGTCTCTTCGTGTATTGTTGGTGACTCTTCGGAGACATCGCATTTCACACGTAGTTATTTTTTGCATTTGTGATTTGTTCATTGTCCACGTTTGGCACTGATAACATAACGTAGGGATGAAAATGCTGTTGATCATCCGTTGTTTGGCTGGTAACGAGATCTTTGGATGACGAAGAAGTGGGGCCAGTTGGTAGTTGACTGCATTGGCTTTTTGAACTCTAGCCTGTATCTCTTTATCGAGTCTTCCATCTTTTGTAAATATGCATTCTAAGTACTTGAATTCTTGAACTTGTTCTAATTATATGTCATTGATCAATCTATTAGACAGAACGTAAAATTTGCACTTCCTGCAATGTCAGATAAAGGATACGAAACTAACTTTCCTGAGAGGGTCGGGGTGGGTAGTGGATCTATTCTTATCCATTGCACCTCCACAAAAAGACTCCAGCAACTCACATGAGGATAATGAGGTAGCGGTGCCACAATAGGCAAGCGGTCGACCAAGAAAGAGTTGGGTGGAAGAAAAACAAAAAATGCTGCAGAGACGCAGTACAGCACAAGCTAGACAAGTGGCAGAGGACAGATAACTTCATCTAACTCCTCTCTTTGACCCACACAGGAAATCCCTGTCAGATTACTTTGTTTTTTGATGCCAGCAAAATTTATCCCTTCTTCATTTTCTTTTATCAGTTCTCTATTCATCTTTAGTCTCAATAAAACCTGTTTGAAAGCTTTTGTTTCGTTGAAAGTCAATCTATTCTTCCTATATCTGCATCACTAGGCCTCGATTCGACTTTTTAATTGCTTGTTCATTGTTTAGATGCAACGCCATCAACCAGAGTTTACCATTTGACACTTCTCATTTTTAGCGTGATGTTTCATCTCTCTAGATGTTAATAATTTTTTTTTTAATGTTGTTGAAAAAATATTTGTGGTATTTCTTTTCTGTTTTTGATTGGAGGGTGGCGTCCGTGGCTTAGACGCTGGGAGTCTGGCTCGCAATTCCAACGTACCGCGATCGAACCCCACTGCTGGCTGCGAGGATTTTTATTTTGGTAGGCCATTGGGGCGTCGTAGGTCGACCCAGTCTAATATGGGTACCAGGATGGCTGTCCCGGGGAAGTAAAGACGGCTGGCGTAATGCTGACTACATTACCCACCTAGTGCCGATTGTCTGTAAAAATATGGGATGCTCTATCCATGTGCCCGATGCGCATAAAGCGTGAAAAGGGATCTTTACTTTACATTACTTTGATTGAAGTAGGGAGAGGGGTGGGGCGAAAGGCAGACAGGCAGGCAAACAGATAGATGCAATGTTTGTTGTCTTTTTCTATTAAAAAAACTTGGTTACCAGTTCGACACAGACGTGGTAAAGCCCTGAGATGTAAAAGCAGCCGGCGTGAAGCTGATCTTATCAACCACCAACTGCCGATTTTTCTATAAAATATAAGTCTAACCTAGAGGTTTTCAAACATACTAAGGTCGTGACCCTTCAATACAGTTTCTCATGTTGTGGCGACCCATTAATACAGTTTCTCATGTTGTGGCGACCCTTTAATACAGTTTCTCATGTTGTGGCGACCCTTTAATACAGTTTCTCATGTTGTGGCGACCCTTTAATACAGTTTCTCATGTTGTGGCGACTCTTTAATACAGTTTCTCATGTTGTGGCGACCCTTTAATACAGTTTCTCATGTTGTGGCGACCCTTCAATACAGTTTCTCGTGTTGTGGCGACCCTTTAATACAGTTCCTCATGTTGTGATGACCCTTTAATACAGTTCCTCGTGTTGTGGCGACCCTTTAATACAGTTTCTCATGTTGTGGAGACCTTTTAATACAGTTTCCTCATGTTGTAGCGACCCTTCAATACAGTTTCTCATGTTGTGGTGACCCTTAAATACAGTTCATCATGTTGTGGCCACCCTTTAATACAGTTTCTTATGTTGTGGCGACCCTTTAATACAGTTTCTCATGTTGTGGCGACCCTTTAATACAGTTTCTCATGTTGTGGCTACTCTTTAATACAGTTTCTCATGTTGTGGCGACCCTTTAATACAGTTCCTCATGTTTTGGCGACCCTTTAAAAAGTTCCTCATGTTGTGGCGACCCTTTAATAAGTTCCTCATGTTGTGGCGACCCTTTAATAAGTTCCTCATGTTGTGGCGACCCTTTAATACAGTTTATCATGCTGTGGCGACCCTTTAATACTGTTTCTCATGTTGTGGCGACCCTTTAATACAGTTTCTCATGTTGTGGCGACCCTTTAATACAGTTTCTCATGTGGTGGCTACTCTTTAATACAGTTTCTCATGTTGTGGCGACCCTTTAATACAGTTTATCATGTTGTGGCTACTCTTTAATACAGTTTATCATGTTGTGGCGACCCTTTAATACAGTTTATCATGTTGTGGCGACCCTTTAATACAGTTTCTCATGTTGTGGCGACCCTTTAATACAGTTTATCATGTTGTGGCTACTCTTTAATTCAGTTTATCATGTTGTGGCGACCATTTAATACAGTTTCTCATGTTGTGGCGACCCTTTAATACAGTTTCTCATGTTGTGGCGACCCTTTAATACAGTTTCTCATGTTGTGGCTACTCTTTAATACAGTTTCTCATGTTGTGGCGACCCTTTAATACAGTTTATCATGTTATGGCTACTCTTTAATACAGTTTCTCATGTTGTGGCGACACTTTAATACAGTTTCTCATGTTGTGGCGACCCTTTAATACAATTCCTCATGTTGTGGCGACCCTTTAATACAGTTTCTCATGTTGTGGCGACTCTTTAATACAGTTTATCATGTTGTGGCTACTCTTTAATACAGTTTATCATGTTGTGGCTACTCTTTAATACAGTTTATCATGTTGTGGCGACCCTTTAATAAGTTCCTCATGTTGTGGCGACCCTTTAATAAATTCCTCATGTTGTTGCAACCATTTAATACAGTTTCTCATGTTGTGGCGACCCTTTAATACAGTTTCTCATGTTGTGGCGACCCTTTAATACAGTTCCTCATGTTGTGATGACCCTTTAATACAGTTCCTCGTGTTGTGGCGACCCTTTAATACAGTTTCTCATGTTGTGGAGACCTTTTAATACAGTTTCCTCATGTTGTAGCGACCCTTCAATACAGTTTCTCATGTTGTGGTGACCCTTCAATACAGTTTCTCATGTTGTGGCCACCCTTTAATACAGTTTCTCATGTTGTGGCGACCCTTTAATACAGTTCCTCATGTTGTGATGACCCTTTAATACAGTTCCTCGTGTTGTGGCGACCCTTTAATAGTTTCTCATGTTGTGGAGACCTTTTAATACAGTTTCCTCATGTTGTAGCGACCCTTCAATACAGTTTCTCATGTTGTGGTGACCCTTCAATACAGTTTCTCATGTTGTGGCCACCCTTTAATACAGTTTATCATGTTGTGGCGACCCTTTAATACAGTTTCTCATGTTGTGGAGACCTTTTAATACAGTTTCCTCATGTTGTAGCGACCCTTCAATACAGTTTCCTCATGTTGTAGCGACCCTTCAATACAGTTTCTCATGTTGTGGCGACCCTTCAATACAGTTTCTCATGTTGTGGCGACCCTTTAATACAGTTTCTCATGTTGTGGCGACCCCTGTAAAAGGGTCGTTAGCCCCCCCCCCCACCCCCACCCAAACAAAAATCACAGATTGAGAACCTCTGGTCTGACCCCATAGTTCTGATACACCTTGATGCGTGTAAAAGGGCCCTTCTTTCTTATGTCCTGTTTATGCCGTGAAGTTTCGTTGAGAGGATTTAGATGGGTGAAATTTTAATTATTCCAATATTTTTCTTAGGCATCTCCCCAATCTTAAAGCCGACCCTGCCACCAACAGGATTTTCTCTGAACCTCCTCTAGTGGCCTACAGGCAGGACCGTAACCTCAAGGACATTCTAGTCAGGAGTCGGTTAAGTCCCGCGTCTGAGCCCCACTTCAGCACGGTCTCTTGCCACAGACCTGTGTGCAGAACCTGTCCATATGTGGTCCAGGTGGCAAGTCTAAAATTCCCTAACGCCACCTTCCACATACGTGAAGCATTCTATTGTACCAGCCGCAATGTCATTTATGCCATCAACTACAAGAGATTTGACAGGTTCAGACAACATCTTTTGGACGTGCAAAATGGTGCCCTGAAACCAGTACCGTTGCACTTCAATTCACAGGATCACCAAGGTGACATGAAGGTGACAACCATTAAATCTAGCTATTCCAGCGACAGAGTCCGCAAGTCTCTTGATAATCGCCTTATTTATACTCTGGGGACTCTGACACCCTCCGGACTGAATTTCCAATACAGTTTCATTTAAACTTCCAGGGGATTGAACTGCCCTCATAGTTTCAACCCCAACACCCCAGTTATGGCCCCTGATACTCAACAAAGGGGTATTTATTCCCCCAGCCGACACGTGTGGTCATTTTGCTGAGTAACAACTGACCTGGCCGCATCGAGATACCAGCTAAGTGATATTGTGTATCTATGTAGTATTGTTTAATTTGTATGTACTGATGAAGGCTTAATAGCCGCAACGTTCACGTTTTGTTTGTAATTGTTATATTGTGAAGCTTGCTAATAGAATTTAGATGGACTTTTCTGTCTTTTGCTAGCTGGGTATCTTTTATTAATGTTACACTGTGTTTGTGTAGTGTCTCTTTAACTCTTTCCACCCATCTCTTTCTTGGTCGACCTCTTGCTTAGTAGCTGCTGTTCTCATGTAGTACAATCAAGTTGCTAGATGATTTTGTTCCATTCTGATAAGATGACCAAACGATTTGATTGTCTGATGGACAAATGGAATTAATCAATTAAGTCGATTTGAAAAATGACAGACAAACTGCTATACGTACAGACTGAAAGAACAGGGAAGAACACGAATAAATGAATGAAGGAATGAATGAATGAATGAATGAATGAATGAATGAATGAATGAATGAATGAATGAATGAATGAATGAATAAAGTTGAACCCCACTAGGACAGAACAACGAGCGATAAACACCCGGTGACACAAAGTGTCAACGTTCGGATGAAAATGCCCCGAGCGCAAGTTCCAGAAACCCCATTCAACCGTTGTTATATTTGGGTCCCCAACAACAGCCCACAGGGTGGGGCTTTGAAATAACGACAAATATGCCTTCCGTACTGGGACTTCAACAAATAAAATGTTCGTAGGTAAGATTAGTAGGGACAGGAACAGGAGGAGGAGGAGCACGAGGCGGAGGAGGAGAAGGAGACCCTACCTTTGATGTCGGAGATCGTTGGCCTGAATGAGGATGCAAGAAGGCAGATCAACACTTGTTCAGATAACTGGAGAAATAGATGTTTTAAATATTGATTACATTGTGTTTTCATTGTCAGAGATCACATTGAGAATGTCTAGGATCAGTAAACTGTCTGTCTGTCTGTCTGCCTGCCTGCCTGTCTGTCTGTCTGTCTGTCTGTCTGTCTGTCTGTCTGTCTGTCTGTCTGTCTGTCTGTCTGTCTGTCTGTCTGTCTGTCTGTCTGTCTGTCTGTCTGTCTGTCTGTCTGTCTGTCTGTCTGTCTGTCTGTCTGTCTGTCTGTCTGTCTGTCTGTCTGTCTGTCTGTCTGTCTGTCTGTCTGTCTGTCTGTCTGTATGTCTGTCTGTTTGTCTGTCTGTCCATCAATATATCCATCCATCCATCCATCTATTCATCCATACTCTCTCCCACAAGTCCATCCTTTTTTCTGTCTGTCTGGCCATCCATCTATTTATCACTCCATCCATCAATCCATCTACCCACCCGTCTGTCTGTCTGCTTGTCTGTCTGTCTACTGGTCTGTCTATACGTATAACTATTTTTTCTTTCTTTGACATCTGTTTTCTTTCTCTCTTCTCCCCCTCCCCCCCCCTCCTCTTCAATTTAAGCCATTTAACTTAGCGAAAAAAAAACAGACCACAATTATAACCGAAGCTACCTCGAATATGGTTGCACGTGGTCAATCCCACCCCACCACCAAATTAAAAAAAACACATCAAGAACAACAAACAACAAGAACAACACACAACATCAAGAACAACAAACAACAACAAGAACAACAACAAACAACAACAACAACAAACAACAACAAGAACAACAAACAACTACAAGAATAACAAACAACAACAAGAAACACAAACAACAACATGTACAATGAATTTACTTTAGGGCATTATTTTTTGCCCCCCTAACGAGTCTCAAACGTTCTTGTGGAACAAATCACTGACGGTAGAATCAGTGCTGGGTTTAGGCAAAGCTAAGGTGCTACTTAGGGCCTCATAATCTGCCTTGGTCTCAACAAATTTCCTTACTATTCTTTACAAATGCAGTTTTTTTCGATTCTTTATTAATATTCTACCCCCAGATGACGTCACAGGACAGTCCAACATCGATGAAGGTGGTAAGACTGGGGTTTCTGGCTTTCTGATGCTTTTAACGACCCCAAAATATATAGAACTGGCCCTAACCCCAACCCACGAAAGATTGCAGCCTAGGTCCCACGAGAGAGTGCAGCCTAGGTCCCTCGACCGGATGCAGCCTATCTACCACTCCCTGAAATATTAGAATGTCCCTTGACCTGTGGATTTCTCCTGTTTAGGGTGGGATATTAAAAAAGAACACCTTCTATAATATATATTTGAACGCATTTGTCTTTCGATTTAAATAATAATACAAACTGATATTTTATGCAATAAATTCGTGTCACTGGAGGATAGGATACGAATTCGCACAAACTATATATAGCCAGTTTTAACATACAGCCACTAGTACGGACAGCTGATAACTCTGGTACCTAACTCCTAGAGGCTGGGTGAACCCCGGGAACCGGGGGGGGGGGGGGGGGGGTTCCAACACCGGTAGTGGGCTGCAGCGAGTCGCAGCTGAATTTAAAAGCGAGTCTTCTGTCGACTGCGCTAACACGGCCCCCGCAGTTGCGGATTGCAGATTGTGGAGAGGCATTATCGCTCATTCCAGTCCGCAAGGCACTTTATGATGATGATCAAATGACAGTATATTTCTATTATCCATATATTTAAAAGGTGTACATATTTCTCACTTGTGAGATATTATCTTGTATAATTTATAACGGTTGGGGCCTCAGGGCTTTGTGTAGATGAGGACTCCATCAAGTCTAAATACACCCCTGGGCAGAATAGTAATAGTGATTGGCTACCAATTGTTCACCCACAAGCGGCTCTAGCTGAAGGACCAGGCTGTTGACGTCACCAGGTCGGGCTAACGATGCAATAACGCAGCGGTTCTCAAACTGGGTGCTCAGCCACCCCGGGGTGCCGTGTGCGTATGCCAGGGGTGCCGCGGCAATAATCGAGAAAAGTATGTAGATACTTGAAAGTTCAAATTTAAGTTGTGTTCCCTCGCCAGTGTCGAAAATAGTTGATTTCTTGTTTGTGAACCGCTGCGTTAACGCGCCCTTAGCCCGACCCGGTGACGTCGGCAGTACGACCTGTCAGCTGGAGCCGGTCGTGATTTCACCAGAGCTCTGGTAAACAACAGAATCATCCTTCCGCTTAGGCCCATCCCCAACACACCATCCCCAACGCACCATCCCCAACACACCATCTCCAACATACCATCCCCAACACACCATCCCCAACACACCATCCCCAACGCACCATCCCCAACGCACCATCTCCAACACACCGTCCCCAACGCACCATCCCCAACGCACCATCCCCAACCCACCATCCCCAACACACCATCCCCAACACACCATCCCCAACACACCATCCCCAACGCACCATCCCCCACCCACCATCTTCAACCCACCATCCCCCACACACCATCCCCCACCCACCATCCCCAACGCACCATCCCCAACGCACTATCCCCAATCCCAGGCTTTTTCCCCCTTCACCAACTCGAAAATGATCTCCATTAAGAAAATAACCCCTTGAACCTTTTTCCCTGGCACGCTGGCATCATAATCACAGAACGCAGGTAGCAGAAATTAAAATAAACACGAACCAATAACGTCACTTACCTTCAT